ATTACGCATGCTCAGGTGAATTTTATTTCCTTTCCTATCCGTTCCTGTCGAAAAACGGATGAGTGAAAACTCGCCTTTAATTGCACGTTATTCCTGTAAAGCTTTATTTTGTAGAATTTACTTCCTGTTGGTCAAAATATCTAATTACTTTGTAAATTGATTGGACAATCTGAGGTTTCAGCCAAACAATATTAATGTTAGACGGTTAAATTGAGCCCTTTATATATATATATATATATATATATATATATATATATATATATATATATATATATATATATATATATATATATGTATATATATATATATATATATATATATATATATATATGTATATATATATGTATATATGTATATATGTATATATGTATATCTGTATATATATATATATATATATATATATATATATATATATATATATATATATATATATATATATATATATATATATATCGATTGATGTTAAATTTGTATTACAATAGTAATACAAAACTCTATTTCGGTTAAGAGTGCTCAATAATAAAGAAAGTAAACAACTTTCTAACTAGAGCGGTATATATATTTATTTTTATTTACATATAGAAAAACCAACTTTTCATGGGACTAATAGTTTCATGCCTATACGGCAATCATCAGCCATGTACTATATCAAAAACAAACAAACCATTAATAAAATTACAAAGTACAGTGGAGCGACATCTGACGTCTCTATAGAGACAAAAAAAGAAAACGTCAAAGAAAATTTTATATAAATTAGCTAATCGCCAGTATCATAAAACGAAAGAAGGAATTTATTTTTATGCCTACAATTTGAAACCAACTTGTTCCTTTTGTTCAACAGGTTTCCCCCTGTATCCGATAAAATAAAATACTTTTCATTAAGACAAAGATTAAGCCAAAGCAAATTTTGGACGAAGGATTATATGTTTGGCAGCGCTTGATAATTTTCCATTTAATAACAAACAAAAAGTTTTCTTCTTTAAGTTTCCAAAATTCTTTAGATAACTCCGTATCATTGTTGTACTGTAAAAGATTTTAAATGGTTTGCATACCTTAACTTGAAAGGGGTTTCGCTAATACCAATATAAACTTTATCTGTGTAATCTGGTTTATTGGATGAAACAGTAGCTTGATACACAATGTTCTTACTTAGACACTGGTTGTTCATAACGCAGGTAGATTTATTGATGCAGTTGCAAGTTTTTGATTTTGTTTTTTCATGATTGTATAAAATATTTTGATTATGCGAATTAATGACTGATTTAACGTTCGGCATACACGAGTAGCTAATTTTAATGGTGTTTCTGTTAAAAATCTTGTGTAATAAATGACCAACAGGAAAGCTTGCATCAATTATTTTTAAAAAAAGATTATCAATTTTTGTTGCAACATTTTTACTATACGGGGGATTATACCAAATAATGTTTCGTTTGTGATTCTTGTTTTTAGTGGGAACTATATCTGACTGATATTTGAGCTTGGATGAGAAACCCAATTTTATTAATGCATCCTGATAAGGAATAACAGCTTTTTCAAAATTTTTTTTGTTTGAAGATGCAGTAGACAATCTTAGTTCAATTGTTCGCGGTAGACTTTTTAATCTGCACGGAGGGTGGATATATATATATATATATATATATATATATATATATATATATATATATATATATATATATATATATATATATGTTAATTTCTATGTGTTATTTTCTAAATGTACATATTGCAGAGGTGTACACTGGATTTTTAGATATTTAAATTTTGGCACTTACAGGCATTGTACAAACTCTAAACTTTTGTATGTTCATGCTTATGTCAAATAAGAATGTTTTGCAAAGAGTTGCGGTGATTGGAGCTTGGGGACAAAAAACCCCCAATTTTTGGGCCTACCCTGCCCTTAACGCGGGAGCAACAAGTTTATAAAATAATTTCTTTAGTATTTTTATCTAAGTTTATATTCATCAGCAAATTTCAAGAATCATGCAATACAAAACATACAAAAGTTTGTAGTGCAAACATCAAACAAAATTTTTATGAAAACTTGTCATTTAAACTTCATAAGTGGTTTTTATAACGTTAATTACTTCTTTTAGCTTACCGCTTAAACAATATCTTTGTTTGTTTTTTCATTTCAGTCAAGCCACCTTTTATCAAAAATGATAAAAGGTGGCATTGACTAAAATGGCTTAGAACTTAGATTAAATGGCTCATATGCCTACTTAAATAGCGCACATGTGTCAGTTTATGCTTTAAAACATAGCCTGTATTGTTATGTAACAAATGTGATAACATTAATTGTTTTGTCACAATAACTATACATTTTAAGTAAGTTTTTTATTTTTTTTTAGATTCTGTTGGGACTGTCGAAAGTGTGAAAGCAGCATCAGACATTTTTTCACCAGTCAGTGGTACTGTAAAAGAATCAAATGAAGAACTTGTAAATACCCCTGACTTAGTAAACAAATCACCAGAAGAAAAAGGTATGTTAAAAATAACTACATAGTTTTGCATTAATGTCACTTGTTGTAAAAATTTTTTTAATACAAGATTTGCAAGTGTATGTCACTGAAACTATTTTTTTAATTTACTATTTAGAGTTATTGTTTCTGTGTTTGTCCTTGGTGGGGTCCTATATAAATGCTCATACAAATTATGGGTTGGACTAAACACCATGACTAAACACACAAATAAGTCAAAAATAATAACTTATGACTTATTATGCTTTAATCCCTAGTAATATCATTTAAAGATGTTTTTTGCAGCATATAGGCTATTTTAAATTTTTCAATCTGCTAACTTGCTCTTGATTTTGCAATACATTTTTCTTAAATGATATTTTCACAAAATATATAGACAAGTATTCAAAATAAAAGTCTTTATTTACTCAAAAACTGAAAAAGACTTTTACAAATGTTCTAAGTAATGGCATGTGCTTAAACATAGTAACAGTCTGTAAATTTATAAATACTAATGTTAGCTCATGCATATGTTTACAATATACTTAAATTATAAGTATGTATGTATATAATATTCATACAGTTTTATATAGCAAGTGTAATACATTTGCAATGTAGTAGTAGAGACCTATTTTGTTCATAAGCATATTATATATTCATATTCATAAGAAGTTTTAAATTCTTACTGCAGTTATGCGTTCAACATACTGCTTTTTTTTTTGGGGGGGGGGGGGAGAGGGTATATATTTTTCATCACATAGGTCTCTCTTCATGCACCGACTTTGTTTGTCATTTGTTATGTTTTAGAGTTAAAAAGGGAGAGTTGAAACAAATTGAAGAAAAAAAAACTCTAAACTTTAAAAAAAAAAACTTTAAACTTCCAATTCTTAAAAAGGTAAATTAAATATTAAATATTTTATTGGATGTTTTTGGAAATGCAGTAAACTATGTGTCATCATGTTTATAAGTTTTTAATTCATTTAGCTTTTATAAGTTAAAGTTATGTTCATATAAAAAATAATGACAAATTAAGATTTGTTTTGTTTTTATAAGTTCAAGTTATTTCTTATATAAAAATTAATGAGAAATTAAGTTTTTTTTTTTTTTTTTTTTCTGTTTTATTGAGAAAACAAAAAAGAAGTTAATAAAATTTTAAAATTATTCAATCTTAATAAAACATTTTTCAAAAAAAAGTTTTGAAACAACTTATGTTTATTTTGTAAATAAACATTAAAAAATAAATTTATTAAATTATTAAGTTTATTAAAATTATCAAAATAAATTATTTATTTAGGTATTAACAAAAAAAACATTTGTTGTTTTGTTATTATATTTCTGGTTAAGAGGGTAATATTGACTTCATAAATCTGCATAGTTTTTTTTTGTTGCTAAAATATCTGGTTTGAATAATAAATTTGATTATTGTACATTTTTTTAAAGGTTTTAAGGCATAAAAATTGCGCGAGGGAAAAACCCAAATTTTACATGTTTATAACTCAATTTTAATTTATTTGAAAGAATTTTTTTGTATTTGACATTATTTATTAACTACAAAAAACATCAATCGTACTAATATATACTATTTAAAAAAATTAAAAACCCAGAACTTACTTAAATTAGAGAGAAAAAAATAACATTAAAAAGTTTTTTTCTAATATTCAAGTTATTTATTGAGATAAATAATTTGTTTTGGATTTATAATTTATTAACATGAAACTTATTTCTTAAAGATTATTTAAGCTATGAACACAACTTGTCTTGGCACTTAAGCCTCTCTTAAATGACTTTCGAAAAACCATTTAAAATTTAAATGGTTTTTAGAAAAACTTTTTTTATTTGATTTAAAAATATTGATTTTTATATCAAATAAATATTTTTTGTTTCCATTTACTTTTATTTCTTCTAAGACATCGTAAAATATTCAAGGCCTTGTAGCAACCATAAAAATGTCATCTAGTGTTATTTTATGAATATTTTGTATATATTTGAGTATGAATGTTAACTAATGTATATGTGCCAGGCTTTCACAGGAAGACGTGCGATTTCACGTCTTTATATGACCACGCAAGTTACATTTTGCTATGACGGTTTGACCGCGGCTTATTTAAAAAACATTTTAGAAATGCGCTAAATAAAATATATTCTAAAAAAGTTAAATTAATTACATCAAAACTTCTTAACAAATGTTTTTATATTAGCGAAACAATTTTAAATAAAGTAACAATTTACTGAAAAAAAGTTTTGTTTTTTAAATATAATTGACAGCTGTATATATTTTTTTAATTTAAAACATATAAATTGTTTAAGTGTTAATTTCTAAAATAAATCTTATTAAAAAATAAAAAATTGTTATGTTTTTATAAACGATGACATTCTTCGACTACGAAAGTCTCATTAACAAATTTAAATATAAGAATGATTAAAGTTAATGCATTTAAAAAGATAAACAAAATTTTGTTAAAAAAAAAAGTTTTAGAAAACCGTAACAATTTAATAAGTTTGATCTTAAATGCTTTTATATTATTGAAACGCTTTTAATGAAGTAAAAAAAAAAAACACTTATAATTAATTAAAAAAAAAAGTATTTATAAAATATTTTTTTATTTTATTTATATAAGTATGTATTTTTTATGAGAAATATTTAACTTTTGAAAAATATATAAAAATGTTGAATCAAAGATTGAAAAGGTTTTTTAATGCGTAAATAAAATAGACTAAGCATTTTAGCTTGATCAGTTTTGTTTTAGATGCGTTATGTATATATATTTATTTTTTTGTGTTTTTGCTTTAACTAAGTATTTTTTTAAAATTTTCTCTTTCGTTAAGATTTATTTATTTTTAAAAATTTTTTTTTCAGATAAGTTTAGGTAAGTTTTTGTAGCGCGTTTTTAAATTTTAAAAATATGCCGTGGTCAAATCGTTAAAACATTTTTTTTTTGCGTGGTCATATAAAGACATGAAATCGCACGTCTTCCTGTGAAAGCCTGTGTGCAGGTTTTCACCGGAAAGTATGCAATTACACGTCTTTATATAACCACGCAAAAAATAATATGTTTTAATGATTTGACCATGGCTTTTGATATATTTTCAAAATTTAAAAATGCACTACAAAAACTTGCCTAAACTTATCTTTAAAAATTGTAATACGAAAAAAAATCTTAACGAAAGAAAAAATAAATAAAAAAAACTTAGTTAAAGCAAAAACACAAAAGCATAAATATATATATATATATAACTTAACTAAAAAAAAACCATTTCAATTTTTGTTTTGACTTTTGTACTTTATTTTATTTGATATGTTTCAAAAAATATACATTTCTCTTAAAAAATATATAATTATATAAATAAAAAAAACAATTTTTTATTAATACTTATTTTAAAAATTAATTAAAATTGTTTTCTTACTTCATTGAAAAGTGTTTTGATAATATAAAAGCATTTAAGATCAAACTTATTAATTGTAACAGCTTTCTAAAACTTTTTTTTTCAACGAAGTTTGTTTATCTTTTTAAATGTATTAACTTTAATTATTTTTATATTAAAATTTATTAAAGAGACTTTCATAGTCGTAGAATGTCATTGTTTATAAAAACAAAACAATTTTTTTATTTTTCAATAATGTTTATTATAGAAATGTGCACTTAAACAATTTATATATTATAAATTAGAAAAATATGTACAACTGTCAATTATATTAAAAAAAACAAAAACATTTTCAGTAATTGTTACTTTATTTAAAAGCATTTCACTAATATAAAAACATTTGTTAAGAAGTTTTGATGTAATTAATTTCACTTTTTAAAAATATTTTTCATTTAGCACATTTTAAAAATATTTTTTGAATTAACCGTGATCAAATCGTGACAGCGGAATGTAATTTGCCTGGTCATATAAAGATGTGCGATCGCACGCCTTCCTGTGAAAGCCTGATGTGTACAATAACTTGAATATAGATTTTATTGAAAAAGTTATTCAAATATTTAATAATATTTTATAAAAACTAATTTTGTTTATTTAGTTTAAAATTAATTTTTTGTTTTTTTTGTTTAGGATGGATATATACAATCGAGTTAAGTAACAAAAATGAGTTAAACGAACTTTTATCAAAGGATGGATATAGTGAATTCTTGAAAGGCGAAGATTCCTAAATAGCAAACCTTTTTTTTTAAAGTATTCCAATATGTAATTTTTATTGTTTATTAGATGATTTGCTATTTTGAAATCATGTATTTTTTAAACTTTTTTTGTATAGCCTCATTAACAATTATATAAATGTAAATTGTTGAAAGTTCGTTTTATCTTGTAAACCAAACCTCTTAATAAACTGTAACTTTAATGTACTTGTACAAATGTACAAAAACTGTAAATTTAGCTGTTTGCATATAGATGGTCCTTTTTTTCTAGTACTATATACACACAACAGATGGTATTCATCTAAGGAAGCAATTTCCAATATAGTTTGTGCATTTAAATTTTTAAAATATGCGCTTTAATTTTTCAGAGAAATAAGAAAAAATGAAGATTGTCGGAAAAAAAAAACAATTGCTGCCCCAATCCGAACCCTTAGTCATTGTAGCAGCACTCTTTGCATGCTCTCTCAATTTAGTCAGTTATGTATGTACTAAAAAAATGAATTATATTTTTCATTATGATGTAAATGTCTATTGCTGCATTTATATATATATATATATATATATATATATATATATATATATATATATATATATATATATATATATGTATATATATATATATATATATATATATGTATGTGTGTATGTATGTATGTATGTATGTATGTATGTATGTATGTATGTATGTATGTATGTATGTATGTATGTATGTATAGCAATAAGGTCTATTTAGAAGTCATGAGATATTTTAAAAAAACAATTTAATTTGTAAATATGTAAGTTTTTTGTTTTAAAAGTTATTTAAATATAGTTTATGGTTAAGTATTTTAAATTAATGAAATTTGCATTTTTTTTCCTTGCAATGTAATGTCTTTAAAAATAAGAATTGATATGCTTCCTAAATTTAAACCCTATTATTTTCATTTTTTAAAGTTTTGTTACAGGTATTTAAAACGGTGATCATATAATCAGGCGTTTAATGTAAAATGGGTACACAGCCACAAATTGTCAAAAAAGTGGATGAAAAGTCATGGAAAATTCGTCCCTACGTTTCAGATCAACAAGTAAAGGACATTGCATATAAATGTTTTGGGTTAGATGTCAGTAATGTTAAAGAAATTGTTTCCTATGAAGATAGAAATTTTTTATTGGAAGGTAAGACTAATTTATCTTCATGTAATTTAAAAAAAGTGATAAAATATTTTTATAAATATTTTATTTGAAAATAAAATATTTCTTTCCTAAATATTAGGTTGATGCATAATTATTGCATGTTTTTTGAAATCAGTATTTACTTATTACTCATTATATATATATATATATATATATATATATATATATATATATATATATATATATATATATATATATATATATATATATATATATATATATATATTATTATTATTATTAATTATATAATTATTATATGTTATTATATTATATTATTATATTATTAATTATATAATTATTATATGTTACATATTTTTATATATTTCATTTTATATATTTATGTATTAAAGTATTTATGTATCTTTGAATTAAGTATTTATTTATTATTTAATATTTGTATATAATAGTAGGGCTAAAAAAAGTGCAATAATTATGCATCAAACTAATATAAAGTTTTTACAACCAGGTTGAAACCATATTATTATCAAGTGTTAATATTACTATCAGGCATTAATAGCTGGAGGATAAGATATATAATAAAATATTTGAGGGGGGGGGGAGGGTGCACCAATGCCTACATTTAGCTGATGTCAAAGTCTACAGACCAATACTGATGCATACATATAACTATTTCTAATATGATTTTTGAACATAATTTAAGGAATTAAATTTATAAATAATATAATTAGTTAGTAACAATGAGCAAAGCATCTTTAAATCCAATCTGTGATTTTTTTGCTATTGATGAAAATAATTGTTTAAAAGCAATTTATAAATTTTGCAAAATAATAATATCAAGAGGAGAAACATTTAAAAAATCCAATTTAAGAGCTCATATGAAAGCAAATGTTCAAACGTTTTAAGAAAAAATAACAAACGTATTTTAAAAAAACACACAAAAAAAGATTTTTTTTAATTTCTTCTTTCAAACAATAAAGAAAATTGGCTAAACTAATGTGTTATATTTTAATTTCAAATGAGTTAAAAATGGCAAAATAAATGTTTTATTTAAAATCTAATTAAAATAGTTAAAATAAAAAAGCTCTAAAATAAAACAATTAAAATAAGTTAAGCATGAAAATTAAATACTCATTTAAACTGTTGTTCATTGATGTAGATAATGTTTTTTATGTTTGCACTACGTTGATGCAATATGTAGGTGAAAAATTAGAAAATATTTCCCTCAACTCATAATAAAATAAGTTTTTTAGGTTTTAAGGCTTGTAGTACTAGCTTCTTACAAATAAGTTTCTTATTAAAAAACCAAAACATTTTGTAATGAAAATTACTTATAAAAAAAGAATAATATTAAAAACTTGTTCTTTATTATTCCTTTTCAAAATGATTTAATTTAAGGATTAAAAAAAAAAGATATAAAAAAAATTCCTTTACTTTTATTGCAAGAGTTTTAAATTAACACTGCATTTAAATCAAGTGGAAAATTTTTAATTAAAAAAGTTATGCGTTTTTATAAAGACTGTTAACATAATGTTTTAAGGTGGTTTCGTTGCATATCTTTAAAATATAAAATAATCTTATTTAGTGTAAAATAAAAATTCTCTAAGAAACTTATAAACAAAAATGGTAAAACGCCGCATTTATTTTTTAATTATGGAAATGTGGATGTATGAATAAAGAAATTATTCATACATCCACTAACTTGGCGTTCATTTTTCTATCAATTTTATGCTAAACGTTTTCCAATTTGCATAGTAATTTCTTTCAAATAAAGAACTCATATTATGCTAAAGATATTATTCTTATAGAAAGAACAACCTGAAAGAATAAAAAATACTACAAGAGAGCATGATCAAAAATTAAGAAAACAATTAGTAAGAAACTCACTTTCAGGCATAATTTCTTCTCCAACTGTATTGTAGAAGCTTTGAATACCCTATCAGGGGCTCTTCTAAACCGTTTTTGGCAGGGTCAATCGTATTTGGGCATTGCCTAAATTAAAATATGAGGACTTTTTTTTTTTTTAAACAAAGGGGTACCGCCGCCCAAATCTTTTTCCAAGAATTGACCCTGCCTATATCAATATGTTACTAATGCAAATTCTGAACATTTTCTGCAACAAAAATAGCAAAATTCACACAAAATTCAAAAAATCGAGATAAGCTTGATCTTTCCAACTAAAGACCTGTTTCTCTCACGTCAGTTATATGCAAAATTTTAGAAAGGATATTAAAAAAAACCATCATTTGGCATCTTTTAGACAATATTTTGATAAACAAGAATTAGCATGGTTTTTTACCTGGTAAATCTTGCTTTACAAATTTACTTGAAAGCCAAGATATTGTAACTCTAGCAGTAGATCAAGATTTTCCTAAAGAGATTCTTTTTACTGATTTTTCTAAAGCATTTGACAGAGTTCACCATAGAAAACTTATATTAAAAATTGAAATGTACGGTATAAAGGATTCATTCTTAAATGGATTGAGTCTTTTATCAAATAGAAGACAAAGAGTTGTTCTTGAAGAGGATCAGGGTAACAACATCTGTTTTCGCTATGCCTAATAACATCTGTCCAACAATATCCGAAATTTCATCGATATATAATAACATCCGTGCAACAACATCCCAAATTTCATTGATGTATAATAACATCCGTGCAACTACATTTGTAGATTTTTTGAAATGTAACTACATCCGAAAAAAAATATTTTGTAATCATTTTAACCAGACATAATTATACATCAGATTTTTTTCAGATGTAATTAGATCCGCCAAAAAAAAATACTATAATGCATTATTTTAAGCATAATAATTTTTTTTTTTAATTATTTGATAGACTGCCCAAACCAAACCCTCTGTTGATGTAGCAGCACTCCATTGCGAGTCAGGCTGTTTTTCAGTCGATGTAGCAGCACTTTTATAATATAATAATTATATATGTAACTACATACAGAATTTTTTTTTAATAATGTATAATTTTAACCAGATGTAGTTACACATCTGATTTTTTTTGGATGTAACTACATTCGGGAAAAAAGTAATTTAAAAATGCATTATTTTAACCAGATGTAATTACACATCAAATTTTTTTCGGATGTAACTACGTACGGAAATTTATTTTATATTTAATAATGCATTATTTTAGGCGGATCTAGTTACACATCAAGAAAAAACTCTCAGATGTAGTTACATCTTTCTAAAGATGTTATTAGACATCAATGAAATTTCGGATGTTGTTGCACAGATGTTAATTCAGTAAAGAAAAAAAGCAAATGATCTTACACAAAAATGATCTTAAACTAAAAAATAAATACAAGCTCTATGCTGATGATTGCAAAGTTTTCCTCATAATCCGTGATAACAGTAAAAATGATCTACAGGATGCATAAATATGCCTCTTCTATTTGAAATCCATTTTTAAAAAATGACATTAATCTTATTGAAGGAGTACAACAGAGCAACAAGACTAATTCTAGGATATTCAGAGCTTCTTTATAAGGAAAGATCTTATCTATGAGAAGAGAAAGAAGCGATTTAATTAACTTTTTTAAATGTCTTGATAATTCTTATCCGCTAAATACAGTATCTTCCCGAAGGAACTTTTGTCGACCAACTGGACCAGCTGGAAGTGTTCGTAACTATATCCACAATCATAGATAACTTCTGAGACCTGTAGACACTCAAGTAGAAGAAAGAATAATACAATTTGAAAAAATTTTTTCAAATTGTATTATTCCAATTTGGAACGTTTGATGTCGAACTTAATAAGTCAGTGTTAAACTTTAAAAAAAGTCTTGATGAACTTTATTATGTGAAATAAAATTTCAAATTGTAGTTTTTAAACTTGCTGCTAAAGTGGGTTACCACTCAGTGAGCGTTTGCTCACCGCAGCAATTAAAAAAATAAACAAAAATAAACAAAATTCATCCTTATACTATGCTTAAGTCCGTAATAGAAGGGAAGGAGGCGGTGCTTATTTTAGTCCAAATCTAATTAGGGGGGGGGGGACAATTTAATAAAAAGAAAGAGGGGTGGGAAATTTTTTTAATTTTTTGATTTTGTTTTTATAAAAAATTTTAGTTTATAAATCTTAACTAATATTTTTTGAAACACATGATTTTCAAGACCAATTTTCACTGATTTTCTTTAGTTTTGAGAAAATACTTTTTCTCAAAACTAAAGAAAATGTTGATAATAAGTAAAAGTTAATAATAAATAATTATTAAAATTAATTAATTAATAATTAATATGGTTTTAATAAGCTTAGGGTGGTTGGGAAAATTTTTCGAAAATTATAGGGTTCAGAACTTTTGCGCATATCAATGCATATATGCGCATACCATTTAAAAGTTATGCGCATAATATGCATATGATGTGCATACAAATTAACAGATAAATGGTATGTGAAATTAATTAAATATTGTGAAATTAGTTAAATCAAACACAGGTGACTAAATTAAAAGAAATAATTTTTCATTTAATTTTCTGTAAAATAATTTTATTAGTAAATATTTCAAATTATTTTCATGATTTTTAAACTAATTTCTAAATCATAAAACTTAACAGTTTAATTTATTTTTTATTACATTTACTCACATTCAAACTCGCCGAGAATTGCTCCTTCCTTTAAAATGCATTCCTTTTATCCTTTGTATCCAACAAAACACTATAGGTACAAAAACTAATTTTATTTTGCGCGTTCGTTTATCATGCGATTTCTTAATTGTGAATGAATCAAAATTAACCAAGTTCTTGCTGCTGTTGCTGATTAACAAATCATTTCAACAATAGATTTTGCAACTTAAAAGACTGCGATATTTCTAACAACCAACAATGCTCCAATAATTCTTTGCGCTTATTTTAAAAATTGTCTCTCTTTCTTTTTTGTGTCAGTGTTTCTCCAACAAATTCAATCATTTTGCTTTCAACTTTCTCAGCAATTTTTTCGGATTTGTTTTGATAAAGGTCATTAATTGAATTGAGTTGACTGAGTCATCAAGTTGAAAAAGACAATTCTGAGTGAGCAAGGAATATTAGCTGTGATTCTTTTGGTCAAACTTTGCTTTAACAATGTGATGGTTTTTCACAAAATTTATAATTTTCTCAGCTTCTTTGATGGTCTTTGAATTTTCAGCACTCAAAATGTACTTAACGAGAAGATTTCATTACTGGAGCTTATCAGTGATAATGCTTCTGAACTTTTGTGGGCTGAGAGTCTCGATTATTTCAATGATCTTACCAGCAACAGCTGCAGCATTTCAATTTATACCCAATGTGTTAATTGAAATATAGAAAAATGGTTTTGTATTTGGTACCTTGATACAAAAATTTACTGTATGATTGCTACCAATATTTATCCAACCATCTCAGAAAAGCGTTATATTTTCAGATGGTTAGAAAATTTCTTCCAATTTAGCGGAGCATTCTGTGTACTTTTTATCAAGAAGCAAACCTGACAGCATTTTTGAGGACGGTATTAATGATGCATACTATGAATTTAGTGCTTTGATCAAATCCTTAAAAGCTTTTCAACAAGAAGAAATGTTCCAGTTCCGAAACAGAAATTTGCTAATTTCATATCAATTTCTTTTTTATAATTAACAATTTTTTTAAACGCACTTTTATAATTAATAACTTAAAGTTATTAATTATAAAAATTTATTTAAATTGTCAATAATCAAATTATTATTTAAATTGTCATATAATGGCGTGCTTACCATGACAAATATCATGTACAACAAACCATGTAAAACATATCTCCTTGAAACATTAGACCTCATTTCGAGCTCTGTAGCAAATAAATGGCCAGTTGATCTTATTTATCTTGATTTTGCTCAGGCATTTTACACCGCACCTCATAGATTTTAAAACTGGAAGCGTATGGTGTAAGCGGAAAAATTTTAGACAATGAAATTTAAATTTTAGAAAATGAAAACAAAAGATTATATCATCTACTTCAAAAGCAAATTCAATTTTAGAGAAATAAAAAAATATTTGCACATCACAAAGTTATTTTAATAAAGTTATTATACAAAGTATTTGTATGGCCGCTTACTGAATTTGCTGCCACAGTATGGTCTTCAAACATAAAAGAAGACAAATTTAGAAATAGTTTGAAGATGAGCAACTAAAATAAGTTCCGATCACGATTCCGAAAACTTAGCATGTAAAGATCCTCTTGCCAAACTTAATATAACAACCCTGGAGCAGAGAAGATTCAGAAAAGACAATATCAATGTACAAAATGTTAAAAGAATGAGGTTTTTTTTTTTAATCCACCGTTATTTAAAAATTTAAACAACACAGGTTTCAAGTTTAGATAGGACAGGGAAATTATTAGCAATGCAATCAGATTTATATCTTCTTCACAAATAGAACGACACCATTATGGACTTCTTTGCCGGAAGAAGCTGCGAAATCTTTAAATAAGTTGAATTTATGATAGAATTCGTAAGTGACAAATTAAACACATTTATGAAAACTTTAATTGATATTTGATAAGGTGATGTTACCAGCTTTATCATAAACATAAAATAAAATAAAAAATTATTCATAAAATTTAAAAATTTTTTTAAATTTATTTTATTTAAACTAAACTTTTTTTATTTGGATGCAAATCAATTATTCATCCATTAAGGAAGTTAAGAAAATAAAATTCAAAATTTTTAAATGTTATTTATGAAAGTTTGATGTTTTTGTTCCAGATAATATTATTAATAATTATCTGGAACAAAAACATCAAACTTTCATAAATAATAGATGAATAGTGAATTGGTCTGAAAAACTTGTTGTCTCATCTTTGAATGATTCTATTTTAATGGTGAGCTTTTGTTGTTTCTTACAGCCAAAAAGCTCAGTTGTTATAGTTCTTTGAAAATTTTTTTTCAGGTAAATTGAGCAGTGAGAAATATAAAGAATTCAACAAGTTTGTTTTAAAGATTTTTAATGGTGAATTTACTTTGTTTAAACACATTTTTGAGAACAACAATTCTATCTTGCTAAACTGTGCCGAAAACTGGTCATTTCAAACACCCATACCTATTGAAACTTTGAAATATAATGAAACCATAGGAGTTTGTAAAATTCCTTTGCAAAAGGAATTTATTTGTGATGAAGGTTCTAAAAGTGAACTTATAAGTGAAGATGGTTGGTATGATTTTGCTCATCTAGTTAGATTAGTTATTTATATTCCTGGTCAAGTCGTAAATGTTAAAGAAATGAATGAAGACCTTTTGTTTAGCTTTGGAAAAATGGTAGCTGAATTATCTATTGGTTTACAGGTGCGTTTTTTAAAAAGTATAAAAAAATCTATTTTCTTATTTTCTTATTTTTCTTTTTTTCATTGCTTTCTTCCATTTTTTTCATTCTTATTCAGTTTTCTGTTGTTTTTATTTTGACTTCAGTCTTAAGTTTCATAAAGTTAGTACATTTTGAGCCTCAAACGTTTTGCAATTGTTTTTTTAATAAAATAAAAGCTTAGAATAAGAAAATTTTATCTGAAAGCAAATGCTGCCACCTTAAAGACAGTTTTTGTCCCTAACCTTTAACTTTAAAAATCAAAAGTTAAAAGGGAAAACCAAAATATTGACTTAAAACAAAGACAAGGTTAAGGATTAACATAGTTTAGATGTGATAATAAAAGTTAGATATCTCAAGCTGAAAGACAAAATTATAGGAATTACTTGAATTAAAATTTAGATTTGTAAATTTTAACAAAATTTAATTAAATTAATAAAAAGGTAATTTATATTATATTTTTGAAAATGTAATTTTGTGAATAAGTAATTTTTATTAGTTTTTAAAAATTAAAAGTGATTGCAATATTATCAACCATGCATTGTTTTTTATTTTCAAAATAGCAAAACAAGAATTTTTATAAAAAATATATATACAGATAAGGTTTTAGGTTAGTAATTTTTTACAATAAATAAGCAATAAATAAGAATTAGTAATTTTTTACAATAAATAAGCAATAAATGATGTTTAAAAAATGCACTGAAAAAATCTCACTAAGCTAAAGAAAAAATTAAAAAATACCATTAACTGAAAAAAGATATAAAATCCTTATGAGTGAGAAAAAAAATAAGTCAAGCCTGAAAAAATAAATCCATAAAAATAATAATATTATTTTATATATATATATGTGTGTGTGTGTGTGTGTGTGTGTGTGTGTTTTGAATAATTAAGTTATTATTTTTAACATTAAAACTTAATTCAATGGTTTCGTTGAAGTAATTCCGCAAATAATGGTTCATCATTTTTAACCTTGTAGTCTTGAGCACGATCAACTAAGACTTTTAGTTGTTGCATTTTATAAAAAAACAAAAAATTGAGATATAGTTTCAAGAATATTTTTTTAAATTTTTAACTTTTAATTTAAAGTTTGTTGCCTAATAATTCAAAGAAAAATACCCTTTTTATGTTAACTATTAGATTTAAATATTTTTTAAAATAATAACGGCATTTGAAAACACTTTAAAATGTGTCTCATAAATTTAGAGTCGCTTTTTTCTATTTTTATTTCTAGGCAAAAAGCCCAACCCTTTTTTTAAGATATATAATTAAAACATTAAATAAAGTATATTGTGTAAAATACTTTACTTTAATCTATTTAAAACTTAAATTACTGTTAGTGCAAGCTAAAAAAACATTTTTACCCAATAATTGTCTTTAAACAATTTAAAATATGGAAAAAAGTTTAAACATCAGTTTCAAAAAATATCATAGAAAAAATTAATTAACTTAAGCCTTGCTGGTAATTCTACAAGAAAAATTTAAAAACTGACAGTAAATGTAAGATTGATTGATCATAAACTATGCTTATATACTGTTGCCAGAAAGCTAGTCAAACGACACAAACAGTTACAATTTTGCAAGGAAAGTTTCAAGATGACTGATAATGAGAAAAAAAAAGTTTTTAGTAATTAATCAAACTATTTGGTTTTTAATAGAAAAATAGAGTAATAGTTCGAAGATGCCATAATGAGAAGTTAGATAATAACTTTATTGAACCTCAGTTACTGGGTGGAGGAAGTTTAGAAGTGATTCCTGGTCTATCACATTTGATGGACCAGGTCACCAGGTAGAATGAACCAATACAAATAGATTAAGGCGCTTGAGAAGCTTGTTAAAATCATATTATTGAAAATGATTGGATTCCAACAAGAGACTTCTTTTTTGAAGATGTGTCTGAATGGATGTTTCAGCAAGATATTAATCTTTGTCACAAAGCAAAAACAGTAACAGCTTGGTTTAAAGAAAAGAAAATCAATTTACTCTAGCAGCCAGCTATATTGCCAGATTTAAATCCAATCAAAAAAGTATGGACTATGCTACACCAAAATCTGGCTAAAGCGCTTGTAACTTCAGCTGAAGAATTATGTAAAAGTTTTAAAAATACACGACAGTGTTTACTGTTTGAATATTGTCAAAAAAATTTTGACATCTATTAAAAGATGTAGAATTTTCGTAGATAACAAAGGTGAAAAGTTGAATAAGTTTACAGTTTAAAATGAAAAATCTTGAGTCTAAACTTATGATTTTTTTTAGTTATCTTTTTACATATTTTTGTTATTTTCAAAATAAAATACTTTAAACAATATATATATATATATATATATATATATATATATATATATATATATATATATATATATATATATATATATATATATATATATATATATATATATATATATATTAGGGCCCTGCGAAGCTTCAAAATTTCGAATCAAATCAAAAAAATGATTTGAGATGCGATTCAAAAATTTTCAAAAATCGAATCCTTACTTATTTTGTTTTTTTTGTGGGTGTTTTAGGTATTCTGCGCTTTGGCGCTATCGAAATAACGTTACTTATCCTTAAATACCTTTTTAATCAGTCATTTAAAAAGTTAACCACGGCAAGAAGCATCAATAAAGAGTTTATACAATTTTTTTATTTTATTTTATTTTGAAATATGTATTATTAAATAAAAATGCTTAAATTTAGACTTCAAAATGTTGATTCGAAACGTGATTCGAATCGCAAATCAAGACCTGCTTTGATTTGAGATTCGATTCGAAACAAAAACTGCTGATTCGTATGGCCCTAATATATATATATATATATATATATATATATATATATATATATATATATATATATATATATATATATATATATATATATATATATATATATATATATATATATATATATATATATATATATAATTTTTTCTATAATGCTGCATTGTGCAAAACAAATGTCCTTTGAAGCATGTTAAGCATCTTGTTGGCCTTAGACATAGCAGTGCATACCTGGGCCTTTTGTTTGAGGTCGTTGCTTACTATGATTCCTAAATCATGTTCAGATGAAGTCGATTCCAAGTTATGTCTATTTATCTATTTTATTCAGGCGGCTGATTTAAAGAACTTTGCATTTAGAGATATCTAGTCTATGTAAAATTTATATATTATATCTATATTAAACATAGATTACTCCAACCTCTTGAGCCTGTGATGTAACAAGCTCTACACTCAATAAGTTTAAAGTCTCAACCGACATTTCATGCTATTCGCTCTATCAAATTATAGATGACAAAAGTAAATATTTTTTCCTTTTTTTTTTAGCTAGTTATACTAGTTCTGTTTGATTTTATTATCGAAAGTTTTTTTTTGTTTTTTTTGCGTTTTCATAGGAAGTTTGCACATCTGTCCCACTGATCCTTGCCGAACATTATTTTCATATTGTCAGTTGTCAAAAGTTGCCAAGTATTATGTAACAAAAATTTTTCTTATTCTTTCATTTGGTATAAATTTTCTAAAATATGGTAAGGCAGATTGGAATTACATAGAACATGTTATTGTTATTTTTTTAAACTTGGGGCCTATGAGCAAACATTTTTTAAAATTTTTAACTTTGAAAATTTTGAAAATTTGATGGCCAGGTTAATTGAACTCCAGTCACTATTAAAAATTGTTTCAGGCTTTCACTATTAAAAATTGTTTCAGGCCTAAATAATTATAACTTAATCCTTAATACTTTTAGATAGATAATCCTTAAGACTAAAAATTTTTGATAGATAATCCTCAAGTTTGTTGGTATAAAAATCTAAACATGATCGTCTTAGCGTGGGTAGGGGCCAAAAGATATTAAAGTAGGACATACTCATTTGTTGAGCCAGTCAAGTTTACAACCATTCGTTTTGATGCCTTTATTTTATTTTTCTAATGTAACTGTTCTTTGTTAAGAAGGTGTTGATAGTGCAAGTCTGCCAAGGCTACTGCACACAAAAATGGATTACTCATCAAGACTGTTTTTCTTAGTTCCATAGTTTTTTTATAGCTTTATCAAAATTTATATATTATATCTATATGTATTACATATTTAATGCACAATAATTGGAAAAAAATTGCACAAATTTAAAATTTTGTAGACAGATTTGCATACAATATTTCTCTTAAGTAAAACTTCTATGCGCTTTTATTTAGTTCTTTTAAGAAGAAACTTTGAAAAGAAAAAAATCAATTTTTTAGAGTTTTAAAACTTGCTCAAACAAGCCGAAAGTAGGCTAAAAAAAAGTTTAAAAGTCTAAAATATGACTTATGAAGCACTTGAACAACCCCTAAAAGTTTTCCAAATTCAAAATAAAAAAATCTACTAATAAAATGGGTCTACGCAGCAGATAAGACTTCATTGTAGACTTCAAGCAGTCTAAACGGCAAGTGCAACCAAATAATGCTAATTTAGTTTCTTTATATAAAAGTGCTGCATTTTTTTAATTTAGAGAAATAACTATGTAGCTGTTTAGAGACAACGTACTTCAAGTTTTATTCATCACAAAGTTCATTATTTGTACACGAAAATTAATAAATTAATCAAAAGTATTAAAAAAAGTTGATCCAGATATTGAGGCGGCCAATCCATCACTGATAGGTGGTTGTCTTGAAATCGCTGCTTGACTACTTTTGCAGTGTGTTTCGGATCGTTGTCTTGCTGAAAAACCCATTTTATTGGCATATTCCATTCGCATGAGGTAACATAACATCTTTCAGGATATTTTTATACATGAAATGGTCCATTATTCCATCGATTTGATGTATTCGACCTAGACTGTTAGCAGAATAACACCCCCATTAAATTGCCTCCACCATGCTTCACGGTCTTATGACAGTAATGTAAATCGAGGCGCTTTCCGGCCAGTCAACGTACACGGCAAATGCCATCGCTCCCAATGTTGTTGAACTTTGATTCATCACTGAACAGGACAGTTTGCCATTTCTGCACATTCCAGTCA